ACTAGCGAACTTTCAATGTGCCGGGTTTTAAGTCGCGGCCAAAGGGGAGGGGTACGTACCCCTCCTTTAATGTGTGTGTTTTGGTCGTCTTCAGAGGAGCCTACTGTGTGCCCGCGACCGCCACGCTCATAAACATAGGCAACGCAAGGACATCTTCATAAGGAACGCCAGAGTGGATTGCTGGAAGGTATCGACTGAAATTGGCCATGTGCAGAGATCAACAGGCAAGTTTCAAGATCGTGTCCACCATTTTCACCACAGTGCGGCTCGTGTGTTTCGTCATTCAGATAGTTGATAACTTGCATCATCCTTATGCGTACGTGATAACTACACGTGCTGGTTGTTACGTCATGTACGCGAGATTCGCCAATCGATTTGTGAAGAGAAGCCGCTCTGATTTTAAGTTAATTAGTAATATTACTGTGAACTAGTGGTGTTCCGATTAATCGAGTTCGTCGATCATTACTCGTTTGGGCTGCCGCAGTTTGATTAAATGCACAGTAGAAATCGACGACAGCGAGTACAACTCGAACTTGGCCGTGTTGCAGTATTTTGTTTTTCTTCTGTCGGCACAGCTCACTTTACGCATGCTCACAAAACCCACTGTGTGGTTGTACGGCGAAAGTGGAGCGGGGCACCAGTCCGTGTTTTATCTTGTTATTGGCATAATTGTCCGCACGTTTGTTGTATAAAAATAAGACAAAGCACGTTACCAGAGTTGAAACATAACCGCAAGGAAACTCGGTATATCCTATAACGGAAGCGAGAGTCTGGTGCACATTGCATGCCGCTTATAGGGCCTTGAATAAAATGGTTGGCAAACCCAATATTAATCTAAATAACAATTATGAAAAAATAAGTGTAGTTATTTTATAGCTATAATTATTTCGAATCACTTTTAATATGTTTTCCAATGTAGGTCTTGCTACAGGGTAAATAATAGATAGTACTAAGTACTAGTAAACACGGTGTGGTGTAAATTTTCAAGGAACTAAGCGGCCTTGTTTCCTGAAAATCAAGCCTAATCCTAAATTTTCCTACATCTTTTCAACTTATTTCCTAAATTAAAGCAATTAAAAAAATTCCAGGGACCCTTTTTTAGCTCATCTGACATAGTCAGATGCAGCTTGTAGATTCCGCGGCTCTTTTTTTGTTAATATTATGAACAACTTATGGTTAAAAGTTTAGGTCCTAACTCTGCTGTTTCTAAGAAATAACAAAAAAAGCATTTTTGTATAAATTCACAATTTTTGCCATCACTTAATTAGCGATGAATTTTTAATAAAAATTTTTTATCGATAGCATAGAGAGACATCTCTCTTACGTAATGGATATGAGTTTGATTGAATTTGATGAGCAGTTATGTTGCAATGCCCTTTAGAGTGTTACCCGTCCGTAACCCTCACAGTATCCTTAATTTACTTACCATTAAATACTAGCTACACATACAATAATGTCAATATTCCTACACAATACACCGGTTGTGTCGACGATGACGCGGCGTCACCATGTCATCGCCGCAATCTAAAATGATCGATGATTAATCGATCATCGGTTGTTTTGTAAAACCGATGATCGATCATGAAATTTGGACCGATCTCCAACACTACTGTGAACACATCTGTACAGCGTAGATCCAGGATAGTTGGTTGTAGCTTGTATAGCTTCACGGTGTTGCTATGGTCGACGCTGCTCTGTGAGTATAAACGTATTTCTTGCTCTCCTATAGCTGCCAGACGTACGAGGGAGGCTTTGGTGGCTTGCCAGGAATGGAGGCGCATGGGGGATACTCGTTCTGCGCTCTGGCCGCACTGATTCTCCTCAACAAGGAAAAGCTGTGCGACGTAGATGCATTGCTGGTATGTAATGCGCAGCACGGAGTAGAATGCTTCCGACCGTGTCATTGCCCCCCCCCACCTTTGTCTGACACGTCTGTACGTCGCAGTGTTGGTCATCGTCATCCGTTCTGGATAATGTCAGATCTGGACGTGGCATCTGACAATTCACATCTCTCTGTGCGAGGCAGTGTCGGTTCTATTCTACTTATCTGGATGTATATCTGGATATGACGTTTTGCGGCTGTTTTTTTGTGTCGGAGGCAAACAAGCCGACTTTGTGTACCTGCGCTACCACGTAGCAGATGGCGTAGTTTTCCGTCAGTTTCCTTCGCGACGGCCGTCGACGCTTGTAGCGCGAAACGAAATAACGACGCGACGATTCCGTTCGCGTTCTTCGTCGTCATTTCGTCATTCTCGTTTCGCGTCTTTCGCAGCGGTGGACCACCAACAAACAGATGCGATTCGAGGGCGGCTTCCAGGGCCGCACCAACAAGCTCGTCGACGGCTGCTACACGTTCTGGCAGGGCGCGATCGTGCCGCTCATACACGGCACGCTGTTCAATGAGAACGATGCGAGTCTGAGCGAGGAGAAGTGGATGTTCCACCAGGGTGAGAACACATACAATGGGGGGGGGGAGGGGGACGTGTCCTGCCTTTCGAACGGGGGTTTACACTTTGTAAACAAAAATCGTGAATCACAAAAGCAGATGGGCTACAGGTAAGCACTGCTGCTGTTGTACAGCTCTTTGGTGCACAGATATACCTGTGTGTAGGGGGTTGTTAAAGCGAAACCTTAGAAGTGTCCTTTACAGACAGGTGTCCATTCAATATTGTGGTGGTTTCATAGTACAACTGTCGCTACATAAGTCTATAGCGGTGGCTGTTAATATAGATGTCTCTATATGCTTTCACAGATTTTAAATGTTTACAAAATTGTGATTATTTTAACTAGTAAAGTTATTTTGTGTAAGTTGAGATTATTTATGGACGGTTAATTGATTGGTAAATTGGTTATTAAGTTGACTTTGCTTTCCCAGGGGCTCTTCAAGAATATGTTCTCATCTGTTGCCAGTGTCCTTATGGTGGTCTCGTGGATAAACCTGGAAAGTAAGTTTATCCTGTAAAAAAACTGCACGATTTTAGATGTTTAGATGTTATTACAATCCTCCTATAGCATTTCACTTTTAATGTCTTTTAGAACAGTAATTATTAGTATTATTATTATTATTATATTAATGTTTGTTTGTGTAAGTTTGTGTTTTCGTATGAGGGTTATGTTACGTGGGGGTTTGTTGCAGGACACGAGACTTCTACCACACATGCTATTGCCTGAGTGGGCTTTCCGTGGCACAGCACTACACAAGCCACAACTACAACTCGCGACACGTGGTTGGCAATCGGATCAACGAGCTGGTAAGTCGAATTGGCAGCCGAGAACGTCCAGGCCAAATAGAATATGCAGTCCATTTTGGGTCACCCGACCTGTGCTGAGAAAATGTGCCGGGTTTCGGGTTTCCTGTTTGTTTCTATGGCAAGCCATTCCCTTCAAAACTGAAATCAGGAATGAAAACAACACAAGTATGAATAGAAACAATACTTTGTAAAATTGAAATAACTAATTGTACAATAGAAAACCTGCCTTTGCAACTATGCACAACTCTGAATGGAATGCACGCTTTTGTAAATGAAAACAACACAAGTGCGAATAGAAACAATACTTTGTAAAATTGAAATAACTAATTGTACAATAGAAAACCTGCCTTTGCGTCTATGCACAACTCTGAATGGAATGCACAGTTATGTGAATGAAAAACACGAACGCGAATAAACAGATAACGCGCTCGCGTAGCAACGACCTAGGGCCTATATATATGGCGTGTCACAGAATAGAAACAACACACAAGTCCGAATAGAAAGAACGGAAAGGCTTCCAGATTTGGCCGCTTGGTGGTGTGCTTGTTTGCAACACAGTCTCTATGACAACGCGAGGAAGCAGGTGAGTGAAGGTGGTTGAATATCAGAATAATACACCACTGGTCTTAAATATTATTCATGACCTGGGGTCATCGCACGAAAACGAGGCTAAGCTAGGCAATTTTGTAAACAATGGCTGCTCAGGCAGGCACGCACGTACACGCGGGTACACGCACGTACACGCGGAATTCCGCTGTGGCATCTGGAGCGTGTCC